GTTAGTTATTTCTCAAGCTATTCACAGCATGTGAAGTGCACACATGAAGTGGCCAGAAAGGAGTAAAGGACTGTGTGTTCTGAATTCCAGCAAACATATCACACCAGTGGGACAGTGATTTCAGTTAACTTGCAAGTCACATAATTGATTAGATTGATTTACAGTAGCATAAAAGAAATCAAAATCTGAGCCCTTGAACTCTGAGTTTGCTCATTGTCACATTGTACAAAACTGAGAGAGAAAATACTGAAAATAAAAACATAGGGGTTTACTCTTACCCAGCCCAAAATTACTTCCTCATCTGCTGACCATGGGAAACTCCTGCCAAGGTCACTCCCTATCCACACTGATACATTTTTCTCTGCAGTCTGTGTCAAATGAATAATACCTTAATGATTAGAGAAAACAGTCCTTCCCAGTGGTGGGCCCACATCTCTTCCTACATAAAAGCTACATACAGGAATTAGCTTCCTGGGAATGAGCTCAGTGGTCTTGCCAGTCACCCAGGGAAGCATCAGTAAGTGGATATCACCTGAAGCAGGTTCTCTCTGCGTGAAACCCACAATGAAGCTACCATCCACAGAGACAAACATAAACTCAGTGGCCACAACTACATAGAATCATCAGTCAGTAGCGGTCTTAGAGACTAAATTTGAGGGAGCTGTTCCCAGAAATTAATGATCAGGGAAGCTTGCTAGGGAGTCTGTGCTGGGTCAGCCACACTATTTAATGTTGTTCGGCTGGTGCAAATCAGTCAGAAGCCTTGTTTAAATGACTACTGGAGGATATCACTTATGTGTGGGGCTCTGTAGAGAATCCAGATACATGGCATGTAGCCAGAGGAAAGGGGGTGCTGCCTATATATAGTAATACTATGATGATCCCCCACTCCACATACAGTCTAGCTGGCATAATGCACTGATTGAGTGTATATTGATCACAAGATCACAAGGGATTGCAAAACCTTGGTACAGACCCCACTGGAGACCCCACCAATCCATTTACTGGACAGCATCCTTGGGCCAAATACACCTTTGAGGTAAGCCAGTGGGGCTGAACCTTTCAGCTCTGTGAGCCAAATGAGTGCTGTGAAGCTGGATCCCCCATGTGGGGTTGGTCTATGGTGTATCCAGTGTGGGGTCAACACAGTCTGTGGGTACAATCCTGAACACAGCCCAATATCATGAGCTGGATCTAGCTGCTGAGTGACACCCCCATGCCAGCAGGTCTGCCACATGCCAGCATGATCTAGTAGATAAGGCCATGTCATCTGCCCCATGGGGCTTGCCATGTGTTCAGAAATTGGGCAGCGTGGGAGGGATAATTAATGCTGTAACCCCCCTGCCCCAAATTTCTGGACTTGGGGGGATACTCGTGGACCAGATGACATGGCCTCACAAAGTGGATCTGACCCACGGACCAGAGATTGAGCACCATTGATATAAGCTGAGTGAATTGTGTTGGGGTGAATTTGGTCTTTTTTGTTACATTTAATTTATGTATTTTCTGGCTTGCTTTCTTTGCCAGTGGCAAGCAGATAGCTAAGCCTTTTATTTTTGTTCCATGATAATGTTTAGTGCTGTTTGTTGATGATAAATTCTTTAAGGCTCCTGAACAGGCAAAAAGAAAGGTCTGTTTTGCTTCATTTATAGTCCTATAGTTTGAAATGAATTCTAGTTCCAGCAGAAGAGCAATTTATAAATATACCAGCGAACATAACAGCCTCTATCTTCAGCTAGCTGTTCAGCTTGCATATGGTATCAGCTGTATTATCTGATGAAGGCCTCTCTATCAATTATATCAAATAACGTCCATTTTTAGAGCTAGCAAGACAAAAGCAAAAGATGCTTTTTCCTTCTCCATACATATGTTATGGTAGCATGAAAAAGATCTGTTATATATTTGGAATGCTCTTAATTATACTGTTCTATTTCCAGCTGTTGGAAACTGCACTAGAATTTTAATTAATGACTAAATTTATGCAGCAAATCCAAACAGGAAACAGTTATGTTATTTAAATAGGCTTTGAAATTCTCAGATTTTATCTCCCAGAACAGCACTCAGATGAATATCAGAACTGCTTTTGTTCTTCTAAAAAGACTGGAATTGCACAGCAAGCTGGAGGAGATCTGACTCCTGGGATGAGGGCACAGGTGGTTTCCTCATCAAGGGTCAAATCACACATGCCTGCAGAACCATAGAATCATGGAGTTGGAAGAGACCTACAGGGTCACCTAGAAAACCAAACCAAGGGGAACTCTGTGCCCTTTTTCCCCACTGATGTTTCAGTCATTGGGTGGGTGAGAATCTGCTGAATGGGCAGGAAATTTGAACGCTGGAACCTGTGGGTCCTCTGAGATCTAAATGGATTTTAGGGGACTTGCTGTAGAAGTCTGTGTGGCAGTCTTATTCTTCCACTTGGTCTCCTGTTGCTTTTACCCATTCTTCTGTCCGGACATATCCAATTAGGCTATGATGAAGAGATATAACTGGGTGCTTGACTGCTCTTGGCAGCAGCTGTGCATGGGGCAGTGGCAGTGGCTGTGCTGCGGACAGCATGCCAGTGGCACTGCCAACAGCACAGATGCTGCTCTTTTTGTGCCACCCACCCAGGGTTGCTGCCTCAGACTGGTGCCTCAATCTCCTTCTCTCTGTTATTCTTCTGCCATGATGACAGGGACCACACCATTTTCTGCTACCCTACTTCCACCCCTAGAAGGATTTGTTTTCGTTAGGAAGAAAGTCTGCTCAGGAACAATAATGATTTTGTGTGGGCAAAACAAGCGAAGCAAGGTTAAATTCAACATGAAAGTGATATGGCTAAACTTCATGTTGTCATGCTATATAACATTGGCATTTCACTGCAACTGCATGGTGCTGTTTCACTACTGTTGTGGAATCACAGCATACTGATATTTCAGTACAATGCAAGAATGATTATCGCATCACTGTGCCACCTTATGATGTCATTTCAGTGCAACTTCTCAGATATTTCACCAAGCAATCGTGGTTCCCCTTCCATCTCCTTCAGCATACTGTATAATGCTGTATTCTGATGGCAATATCTACTTTGTTCCTCTTCCATCTTGTAACACTGCATCACAGTGGATGTATGTATGTGAGACGCTGACTGTGCAGTAGCCTCAGCCTGATACTACTGCGCAGTAGCATTGCGTAGCAAAAGATGTGATGCGACGCTACTGTGCAGTAGTATTAGGCTACTGCGCAACAGTGTCACCAAAAAGCCATTTGCTGGTGCTACTGTGTAGTAACTCAGGTTACTACGCATTTATTTAATACTTGTTTATACAAGTTTATATTTATACAAGTACTCAATAAATGTGCAGTAATGACTTGTGCAATAGCATCTCATGTAGATGTGGCCAGTAAGTTCTGGGCATGAGGCAGTGGTAATAGTGAGGTATCTTCCACCACTGGCACCCTGCTACGTGATATTTCAGCCCCACACATACAATTTTCCTGTGCAACACCATGGTGCTGGTGCATGGAAACAATGACCCACTGCAGCACAGTTACATTTTAGTACAAGGTGAAGGAATGTCTCTGCCACACTGACATACTAACTTCATAGTGACATTTTCATGAAACATGAGGATGATTCTATATTGTCAAATTATTATGTTTTGGGCGCAGCAAGTTGACAGAGATGATGTTTTGGTGCCATGTCATCACTTCCTCACAGTGATATTTCTGTGCAAGGTGACAACTGTAATGTTTTATCCCGTATTGCCATGTCACATCCTAGTGGGTTACAGCACCCTACTTTACTACTGTATCACAGGAGCAGTTTGGCTCTAATGCTGCCTTGTGTCTGGACAGTGATAACTCAGTAATGGGCAGTCCAACTCAGTGCAGCAGGTTTACTGTAGTCTACTGGTGTTCGTCGGTGTGGGTCTTCTGTGTCAGGGCTTTTTTGGAGCAGGGTGGAACTACCTCAAGGGGCATCTTGGAATAGGACAGTGGTGTCTGACTAGGGTGCAGAAGCATTTCAGGACCGGGCACTAGTGTCTTCTCATTTGGCAGGAAAATCCCTCTTTTGGCACAGTGACCATTCTGGTGTGAGGCAGATCAGCTCTCATTATGGGACAGAGGCTTCACAGCACAAGAGAGCGGTGTACAGTATTATCTTGGTGGCTGCCTAATTATAGGGAGTGTCTTCAGACCCTGCAGTGATCTCTTGTGCAGGATAGGATTGTCTCCTGCCAGCGCCGAGGCACCTTGGATATGGTCCTTTTGTTGTGGTATGGTGACAGCTCATCGTGGGACATACTAGGGCAACTGTGTCACATGGCAGGCCTTTCTCTGGAGTTTCTGTGCGATGGCACCTTGGCAGTTGCCTCTAGGGCTGGGACAAGTGGCCATTTTGGTATGGATGGCACAGCCTGCACGAAGGCGGCCACGGCCCTGGTGCCGCAGCCTGGAACGTGCCTTGGTTCAACGCATCTGAGCTTGCAGGTAGTGGCTGTATTAGTCTAGGGGCCATTTTGGTGGCAGGCGCTACCATGTGTGTAGGGGGCAAGGTCCCAGGCCTGGAGACAGAAGCTGTTTTGAGGGCAAGCCTTTTGTTGTGGTGCAGAGGTGAGGCACTGCAGCAGCCCGAGGCAACCTGAACCTCTCCCCTTTGGCAGCGGTCCACCCACACCAAAGGTAGAGAGAGAAAAGTCGCCAGTGCCTGTATTGCGCATGCGTGCTGGCTCTTCGCGCATGCGCAACACAGCTTCTTGAGCAATTCCTAAGGAGCGCGCTGTCCCACAACAGCCTCTTGAGCCGGTATCAGTTCCCACCAGCGAGACTAACCCACGGCTTCCAAGGTGGCGGGGGCAGTAAGAGCGCGAGTGTCGTAGCGCGCATGCGCCACGTTCTCACCACGGGCGCCCCTCCCCTCCGGCGCATGCGCGAAGGCCACGCCGCCACTGCGAGGGCGTCAGACAGGAGGAGCCAACGCACAAGCCGGCCACCCGTTGCGTTACGCATGCGCACTGGTGAATAACGGGGCGGGGCGCGTCAGCTGACTCCGGAGCTCGGCGTTCGGAGGCCGTTAACGGTAGCGGCGGCCTGGCTGGGTGGAAGGTGGAGGGTCCCGGCCCGAGCGAGGCATTATGGCAACCACTGTCAGCACCCAGCGGGGCCCGGTGAGTGTCGGCGGCCGGGGGGCAGCTGGGCCCCCTGTCTCGACCCCGCGGGGGGAGGCCCTGAGGAGCTCCCGTTGCTTGTGCGCATGTGTGGTCTCCCCCTCCCCCTTTTTGGGGCCTCCCTTGCCCCTTGTGCTGGGGGAGAGGGGCACTGGGTCGGTACTGGCCGTCGATGTTTGTAAATGAGTCCTGGTATAAAAAAAGCAGAGAACCACCGGGATCGAGGACGACTGATCCTCCCAGGAGCCTGTGCTGGTGACACACAGAGGTGTCCTGCTTGGCCCTAGCTGCTGGGACCGCCCTCCGCTAGGTGAGGTTGTTCGAGATGCCACAGGGGGGCGGGTGGCACCATTGGGGTGTGATCCTGCTTTGGGCAGGGGGTTGGAGTGGGCCTCCTGAGGTCCCTTGCAGCTCTGGGTTTCTGTGATTCTGCGATGGATCGAGTGGGGCTGCACTGAGACACTGAGTGTTCAAGTGCAAGAGGTATTCTTCCAGTCTCCCCAGTCATTCGGTTGGTCTGCCCATAGAGACCCTGGCCCCAAAATCCATTGTGCTGCGCCTCTTTCTTGGACGTCGCAATGGTGTCATTCCAGTGTTACCACAGACGTGTGACGAAACCCTGCTTTACTCTTCTGTTCCAGTTCTCTCGTCCTTGCCTGCATCTGGGGGCAGCCTGGGCTGCCCCTGGGAAGGTCTGAATTTTGTGTCAGTTCGTCTATTTACAATTGAACCCTGGTCTCCAGGTATTTATAGGGAACAAAGTGGCTAGGCTGAGCAAACTAGTGGACCTGTGCAGTGATGCTGAGAGGCAAGAAGACAAGGTTGTTTGTTATACTGGCCTTATCTGATGATGATGGAAGCGCGTTAGTGATCTCGCTTCCTGCAGTTTCCCCTTTGTGTTAGCTCTTTAAAAATATGTCTCTCTTTACAAATGGATTTTGCTAACTTTTGTTGCTAGGCCCTAAAGCCTTTATATGGAGGGAGGCCTTTTGTCATTTTCTTTGGCTGGGCGTCTGCCTGCAACCTTTTGCTTCTGGACTTACCTCTCCACTTCTAACCTCGAAAGGGCTCTCGCTTCAAATCAGTGACTGCATATATAAAATGGTTTCCTTTCTACTGGAGAAGAGCAGCTTTTCAAGACTATGTATATCCCCTTTCCTGATAGTCTTTCCACAGAAAAACAAATGCAGTTTTTATATTCCTTTCTTGTGACATGGAGGGCAAACAGCATCTTCCAAAACTGTAATGTCAGTAAGTAGCCACTAAAGGGGGCTAACAGGCTAAATACAAGGTCTTGTCTAATGCTCTAGTGCTGCAGAGAGTATTACCTCTTTCTCCTTCTAGCTTGCTCAAGCAGAAAGCTTTCCAACGTTGTCTTGGACGTGGGTGTCTGGGAATACATGACAGAATGCCACCAGACTTATTTTTATGCCTACACTTTCTGATTTGTAGTTATCATTTTTATGTACATGGCAAACAGATTCCTAATTGCAGCTTATTTTTTCAGATGTTTTAAAAGCGAAATTCCTTCTGCCCTTTTCTGATAAATGTTCAGGTGAAATGTAAAGAATTACATTCTTATAATAAAGAGTAAAGATAGGAGTAATCCTAGTCACTACTCTTTCTTTTGCAGTGAAATAGTGTATGTATGGCAGAGTATATAATGGCTGCTGTATTTCATTATGTAACTTACAGTATCTGGTACTTTTATTAAAAAATGACTGGCGTTACTGGGGGGAGAATGGGGGAAATTTATGTTTCTAAATTTATGAGATTTAAAATACGCAGTTTGATTCCTTAGTTTGGTTCTCTCTGCATTCAGGACTGGAAGGGACCACCTGGTCACTGAGGGTGTTTATACACGTGCTCTGGGAGTTGAGGTGGGGGGCTGTAGTTAAAGTGCCCCCATTGCCATTTTCAGCACAAGGTTGTTGATCCACATGACTGGTTTCTGCTGGAGAGTGGTAATTGCCGTGTTCCAGCAGACTCAATTAATTGAGTTTGCTCTGACACACTGTAATTAGAGCATGTCAGAGCAGCCTCCCTGCATGTGTATAGGCATCCAGAGACTAGTCTCTGTTATTGTTGGTATCTGTGATACAAATTGATCAAGACCCTTGGAACCTTGCTCTCCTGGTAAGACAGAAATTGGTTTCTGACTAAACTTTAGACCTGTATGTTCTTGTGTCAATATTGTCATTTAACTTGACTGATCTTTTTGCATCCCTCCAGTGTCCATCCTGATACATTTTCATCTTGCTAGGCTAAATAACCAACCTTTTTTAGTCTCCCTTCCAAAGATAACATATTGGGAGAAAAAGGAGAGCCAAGTAGCTCTTCTCTGTACCTGCTTCATTTTGAATTTATCTTTCTTGACTATGGGAGGCAAAGCAATCAATTTTGTTTATACTGGCACCATACCTTGATGATAGGATACTAGGTCTCTAGGTCAGTTCTTTAGCAACAAATTTGTGTCAGAAGTACTGATCCTTTTTCACACAATTCAGGGTCTTATTCACTGTCTTCCTGTCATGCTGTTTTTTGGAATATATAAAGAAGTGCTCCCTGGTTTAGGTACTACTATAAAGGTTGTACCTGGCCTTGAAATGTTGATTTACCAGGATGGCAGATATCATCAAGATATGCTGCTTTTCAGAGTTAAAGCCTTGAATTCTACAGTAAATTCAGGTTTCTAAACCTCTAGAAATGACTGAAGGCTTAAAATCCTTCAATCCCATAATGTTTTTCATGAAAATATGTTATGATGTGTTGCGCTCTGAGGTGCACTACTGTCACATAAAACATGCAAGGTGGCTTAGATAATACTTTTAGGTTCTTATTTGAAAGTGTTTTGTTTAATATTCGCTATTTTCTGAAACGCTTCTTTTTAAACTTCCACGGGCCTTGTCTCTTAAACAAAATTTGAAGTCAAGGAAGAAGTATCACTGCTTAGTGGTGCTGTGGGGGAATTTGAAGTATTCAACCAATGCTAGACTCCCCATGAGAGGGCTCCCCAGAAGAAATGGCTTATACTGAAAGGGAACTAGCCTAATCCAAGAGCACTTCCAAAATGCCTTTTGAGTTTGGCAGTACTTTTGGCTAGACTGACATCATGTATGCCTATCCACGTTGGGGTAGGGCACTTTTTAATTGCAGCGGCTATTGGAAGCTGCCCTAATTAAAATGCTGCAGCATGTAAGTGGAGTCCGCTCTAGTTATGGAGGAGTAATATAGAAAATTTTGGCAATAGGAGGGGCATGAGAAAAGAGGCTCCAAAGATGTTTTTCTTTCTAAGAGTCTTGTGCTTCAGTGGCATTTGCCTTCAGGGAATTTAGGGAATTTTGTAAATATTAACAAGTTTATCTTATTACTGCAACAGATTAATGGAGAAGAAAGTAGAGAGTGTAGCTCAAATGTTGCAAAATACCTAGTGGGAAGTAATCTTGCAGTGGCCACATTACTGTGGACTAGATTGGAGGTGGGCTAGATTACTGTGATAATCAGTAACCTCATTACTGTGATAACTTCTGTTGTTCTGCTTGTCATATTCTGTAGGGTGCTGTGGTTTCTACTGCTCTTAGTCTTGTGGCTATAAAATAGCAGTCTAATTCTTTGCTTAATGTGTTCACTGCTATCCTTTCCTCCCTTGTTCCTTTAAACAAAAGGAACAAAACGCCTTTAATTTTACTGGCACAAAGTCTTGGTTTCACAGATCCTTAACATTGTTCCTGCCTTTCTCCAAGCGTTGGCATCATTTACTAATACCTAGTGCCTAATAAGATAAGACTGTTACATCTCTGCTAACCCAGAGCTAGTGAAAGGAATTGCAGTAAGTAACCACTGCTTCAAACAAGGTAAAATTGCTCTGCCTCAATTTAGGGATTAGGAGGGAACAGATGAAACTATCGTGATGCTGCTCAATCTGGTATCAGTCCTCTCTTCAACCTTCCTATCCACTTCCATGCTAGCTTTTAAGTAGGGTAACTGTGTTGTCTGTTCTGTTTCTAACTCTAAAAGTGAATTATTTAGACCTGTGGTTGTCAATCAGGGTGCTGGGAGACCCCATAGGTGTGTTGTGATAGTCTAGCCCCCTCTGCCATTTTCAGAAAAGTGGTGAAGGGGTGACATGACTCCAGAAAGGTTGAGAACCACTCATTCAGACTGCATGGCTACTAAATAGGATGGTCTGGTTTGGAAGCATTGGAGAGAGGATGTTCAAAAGGTAGCATGGTGTATGTGTGGTTCCCCTCTTTCCCTTGATTCCCTTTCTACTTGTGGATCTAGCAAGGGGATGCTGAATGCCTGTGCGTAATACGTATAACTAACTGTTCATATACTGGACCTTCCTGCTGAGGGATTCATATATACTGTATGATGGATAGCTCATGTACCTCATCACTTTCATCTTCCATAAAACAGTGAAAATCTTTATCTTGTGGAGTGCTAGTCAGTATTTTTAAATCAAAGTGGAATGTAGGCATTCTGATGCCTTGGGCATGAACCACTAAATAAGGTTCTTCCCTACATCATATCTGAAGAGACTCTAATTCTGACTTTAACCAGTTGTTATGCTTCTTAATTACAAAGGTGCAGGTGGGGGGGGGTTGTTCTTGTTTTTCCAAAAACAGAATAGTCTGGTTTTGATGGTGAACGGATTAATGAACTAAATGCTGTGAAGAACAGATTTCTTTTTGTAAATACCAAGAGTGGTGATATCAATATAAGCTTGTTTTTCTTATCTGTAGACAAAAAGACTTGACAATCTAGTTGATCTCTGATTTAGCTATTGGGAAATTCAGCTTAGTTCGTAAAAGGAGAGAAAAGGTTGGGCAAAACATTTTCTAGCTATAATCCCTCTTCAGTAAAATATACTGAAGGCTTTTCTACTGCTTTTATTTCTGCTGATTCTTTCACGTTGCCATTTTTGAATCGGACATCAACACTTCAGATTCAGGATTGGCAAAATGCTATTTCTCCTTGTGTTGGGGGTTTGGGAAGGGAATGGTTTAAGTTTGCCCTTCTGTTGGCTTTATAGAAAACATGTGGGTTTGTCCACGCTACAGCCCAATGATGGATTTGCAGCTCATTATGGGATACAGGAGCTAACTTTAAGCCACTGGATTTAGACTGATAACAAGGTAACTAGCAGTAGTATCAGACTCTGTTTGGGCCAGTTGTGTGAATATAGGTGGATGGGTGGGTAGGTTTAACCCATGACAATTGAACCCCAAACTACTGCATGCTATAATGCTGTTGATACATCAGATTATCTAGTTTGAATGTGTGCACTCAAGTGGTTGTATCTTTTGGACTGCTGTTTAGATGTGACATGATTGGTTTGCACGAGTTATTTCTGGAGGAGTGTTGGTGCTTATTGTTTACAAAGCCCCCAGTTAACCTAATACATTACCTTACTTTTTCTGGCATCTTTCATTTATTTCAAAGCTCTTAAGAAAAATGAATTGTTTAAACCCTTTCAATATACTTCTTAATTTGCGATTAGGTATTAAACCATCACTTATTGAAAGCTGAGGCAGAGAGCCTACATAAATGGTAACAGAACTCACTTCTGAATTAAGTCATTGCCTTTAATTTGCAGACAGTGTTGTCTCAAGGAATCTTGGCGATGAAGGTAGTCTTAACTGCAGTTTTAGAACTTGTTAGAAGCCTGGATGTTTTCATAGGAACCTCAGACTAGAAGGGATCATTTAGTTTATTCTCCTGTTGTAGATGCCACAGTGAGGTCCATTTTTTAAACCATAGAAGAGCAAAAGACTACTGTTTTGAGTGAAGCAGGTCTAGGATCCGTTGCCTGATTATACTAGAAATCAGAAAGTCTAACTACACTTACTCCAAGGCCTACTTATTTTGGCATTAAGCGTCCTTTGGCTTCAGTAACACTTCTCCATTTCTGTGTTGATACTGTTAACTGTAACTGAAGACTCCGT